AATCTTAATTGTATTACAATGTAAAATTATAAATTCATAGGAATATTATGAATAATATACAATGCTATCTATTACTGATTTTTTTGAGCAGTGATCAAGTTTTCAACTTTTTATGGCTGGCACAAAAAACTTCCTTGCACATTCATCGTCTCAAACTCATGTATTCCTGTATTTTTCTTTCCCAGTATATCCTATGAATGAGGATTGTATGTGGCCTGACACTTTCACAAGACCTGAGCCCAGATGTGACACTTTCGGGGAGTAGTGTCCAGCTATAACATCTTTTACAGGAGTGGAGTAGAACTGTAGCACTTTCCCTGGGGAAACTTTTCTCTAGCAGATAAGAACTGTAACCCTTTTACTGGGTCAACTCTCCCCCATAGGAGGAGCAGAGCTGTTACACTTGCACTGGAGAGACCTTTCCAGTGGGCAGAACTTTAACACTTACAGTAACTTCATGGTATTACTTGGCTTCTAACCGCCAGGTCACCTTTCCATGGGAGCTCCAATTCTCACAACCGGTATAAAGTGCTGAAACAGAAGAATCTTAGGAAGGCAATTGTGTCATGAGGCTCTGTTTTCATGATAGAATTATTGTAGTTCCCATGAAACTAGATGAATTTCCTTCAGAGCAAGCTATGACAGAGTGAATGTAGTATCCTTGTCCTGCTGTCTTGCTTCTGCCCTCACCATGTGAACAGTCATTTTTATACACCAGCTGCTATGGCATGTGTCTCATACCAGAAGACAAACAAATGATGACATATTCCCATCTACCAGAACCACAAGGTGGGGTGCAAAACAAAAACATTTTTCTTTATGAATTAGTCACAGGCTTTATCTACAGTACAGAGAAAAGATTAAGAAGATTAATCTCAGCTCAGCCCTGCATGGTTGCAGTGTGTGAGCATCCACGTACACCCAGGAACCCAGAAGACATACTCAGTATATGACCTGGCTACCTATAGTTCCACTATGGGTCATGAAATGGCCTTATGATACAGCTTCACCCTCTCTGGACTATTATCTGAGAGCTATACTGTGCAGCCAGAAACCCATTAAATGGCACAATTGTTCTTGACCCTAAAGATAGTTGTAAGGAAAATGGCTCACTGTAGATCATGGAAAAAAGCCTGATGACTCAATTCTAGAGCCCCATAAACAGGGTGAGGCTATCTGTCAGGGACACAGCACTTGACACAATAGAAACCCCAAAACTCCAAAAGAATTGCACTTATTCACGCAACTTGCAAAAGACTCACCCTCTGCACACCTGAGGTACATAGGTATATTGTCTCAGCATCAGCAAACTGGCACATCAAAAGGTCATTAACATGATCATGTAGTATGTATCTCTTTGATCTAAATATCACTTAGTGTTGAAAATTTTAAATACTCTGAGCTATATTTAACAAAATGAAGAATAAAGCAGAAGATAATATTATCAATAGGTGCTGAAAAAAACATTTGATGGATTCAAGTATTTTCTATTTTTTTAACAAATATGTTATTTTTTAAATTATGTTTAGTGTGTTGGTGTTTTGCCTGTATGTATGCCTATGTGAAAGTGTCAGATCCTCTGGAACAGGAGATACTGACAGTTATGAGCTGCTATGTGGGTGTTGGGAATTGAATTCGGGGTCTTCGGGAAGAACAGCCAGTGATCTGAACTGCTGAGACTAAAGTAATTTTATAATAAAATTTTCAACAAGTTATATACAGGAAGAAGATACCTGGGTACAGCCAATCTATGATAAGCTCACTACCTGATAATCCAAGTTATCATCATATTCAACACAGAATTATTTCTTTAACGTCAAGATAGGGCAAAAACATTCACTTATCATCTCCATTAAGAAAAGTCATGAAGTCCTAGACAATTCATTTATACAAGAGAACTAAATAAAAATCGTTATCATTAGGATTATTTAAATTAAATCAACTGTCTTTTCACGTTACATGACCTGGGCATGGAAGCTTAAACATGCCAACCAAAAAGTTTACGAGGAAATATGTAAATTAAATAAAAAGTGTAGGGATAAAATAAAAATTCAGTAGTATTTTTAATTTGTAAAAGTAGTACTGTTTACAATAACATCAAAAAGAAAAGGGAAAGAGTGTGCGGCTTATGAATGCTAGGCTTGAAACGATGAGGATGGGAATGGAGGAAAATTAATGAGAGGGTTTGTGACTGTATATGAGATAGCTACACTGGCGAGAGAAGAGGAAGGACAGGGCTTTAACAACAAACAACAAAGCTGGTTTCCACAGACTCTATGAATCTCTCCCTTCAAACTAATAAACACACAACATTACTGAAGGCTCAGCAATAAAAAGATCTGGCTGCTCTTCCAGAGGACACTGGTTCAATTCCAAACACCAACATGGCAGATCATAACCATCTGTAACTCCAGTTCAGGCGAGATCTGAGGGCCTCTTCTAGCGCCCAAAGACACTGCAAACATGTAGTTAACAGACAAGATATACAGACAAAACAACTATACATGTAAACTAAACAAACAATAAACAAAAATTAAAAAGTAACATTACTGCCCTCTTTTGTTAAACATTTCAGCTTAGTAGTGTGAAGTTTAGTATTGTCATCTTGACAGAGTGTAGAATCCCTGGAAAGGACTCTCAGTGAGGAATTCTCTCTATTAGGGTTACCCGTAGACCCACCAGAGAGGGATTCTTTTAATTGGAATAATTGAGGTGGAAAGCGAGTGTGAGGGGAGTAGGCTCCGGATTGAATGGAAAGGGGAAAACCATAAAGCACCATTATGCATGCATTAATTCATTGCTCTCTGCTCTAGAATGTGATGCAGTGCGAACTGCTTCAAGTTCATTTCACGTTCAATTTGTCATGATCGACTGTAACCTGGCTTTGTGAGTCAATAGATTCTCATACCTTAAGTTGATTTTGTGAGGGTATTCTATCACAACAATGAAATGAAAGCAACACAGGGAGTAATAGAATTTAAAGTCTTACATCTAGTCCATCTAACAATAACAAACTGAATTGTGGGTAAAATGGCTTCTTAGCTAGCTTCTGCTTATTCAATGAAAGAGAGTACCCCAGACTGCCATAGGGGTAGACAAAAGGAAGAGAAACTACCAAGGCTTTGGACTCCAGTTGCTAAAGGCTGCCTCTTACCACTTCTTGACTTGGTAAAGAATTTGCTCAGCATTGACTTTCTGCCTTTACCCTCTTACTTTCTGGAATAAGGTTTGATAACATTCTCTACCTTTCTTTCAGTCTGAATTCTCTGTGGCAACATAAGGACCTGAACTACTTCTGCAGTCAAGATGTTAGGGAATGCAACAGTACACCATTTTGTTTCCTCTTACTACAATTCTTGGGAACAGATTTATCTGAAGGGTGATGTGGGATTCCCCTTGTATGCTATGATTACCATTAATGAATAAAGAAACTGCCTTGGCCTGTTGATAGGGCAGAACTTAGGTAGGCAGAGAAAACTAAACTGAATGCTGGGAGAAAGGAGGTAGAGTTGGAGAGAGCCATGTAGCCCTGCTAGCAACAGACACCAGAACTTTACCCAGTAAGCCACTGCCGCATGGTGATAATTAATTAATTTGAAATGGATTAATGGAAATCGGTTAAATTAATATGTAAGGGTTTGACAATAAGAAGCTAGAGCTAATGGGCCAAGCAGTTATTTAATTAATATGGTTTCTTTGTGGTTATTTTGGGACTGAGCAGCTGGGAATCAACAAACGGTCTCCTTCTACAGAAGGGGTGTATTTTTGTCAATTCCATAAGTAACTGAGGATGACCTTGAACATCATATTCCCCACTCCCACCTCCATATCCCAAGTGCTGGAGCTATAGACACAACAGGATGCTTTAGTTAGGGTTTCTATTGGTGCTCTGAAATTCCAAGAGCAGGAGCAACTTGTGGAAAGGGTTCATTTGGCTTACCCTTCCACATTGTGGTCCATCACTGAAAGAACTTAAGAACAGAAACTCAACAGGGCAGGAACCCTGAGGCAGGAGCTGGTGCAGAGATCATGGACGTGTGCTGCTTACTGGCTTGCTCACCCTGCTTTCTTATTAAACCCAGAACCCCCAGCTCAGGGATGGCACCACCCAAGATGGGCTGGGCTCTCTAACATGAATCACTAATTAAGAAAATGTCCTATAGGCTTGGCTATAGACAGATCTGCT